TGAGTTGATATGATAAATAAGTTAGTGCACCTTAGAAAACAGAAAGTGCTCTTTACAGCTTTATGTCCAACTTGTTTTCGTTACCAACTCGGTAAGGTGAGTGTTAACAAAAACGGGAATTTTGTGGGAAAAAAGCGAACGAAGACATAAAATTGAAAAGAAAATATTTATTTTTTCAAAGGTTTTTGGATACTTTTGAGCTGGCCTTCCTATGACTTCACTTCTTAGAAAAATCCAAATTGTCAGTTATTCTGTACATTTATAAAATAGAAAATAAACCTTATTAAGATATTCTGCCTGCACTTTACCAATTTTCCACTCATACTCGTAGATGTTCAATGACATTGCGTGTAGAATCCAATGTGAGCTTTAAGGAAGATTTTTAGGTTACGGTAAAGGTGTAAGCGATGACTAAATAAATCATAAGGCAATTCCTGAACTCATCCAACTTTTGTTTATTCGCCCTTTTGTACCAATCTTCGCCCCACTCTCGTCACTCAATCAGATGAATAATTAGCTTAGGAGTGACATTATATATATGCATGAGATGGGCGGGGCGATAGAGCAATGTAGAAGGATTGTCTCTCGACTTTAGCACTTTTGCCATTCCAAGGAAGCTCGTCCTCTGTCTAATACAGAGCAAAAAAAATGATTGAATTCAAATTCAATGTGTGTTATAAAGTACCGTAAAGACAATCAGCAGATCTTCCCATTGCGACTGAAAGCAAAGCTAAATTTTCAATTACTCAATCCATGAATTAAAACAGATTAAGATGAATCAGGGCATACCGTTTAAAGCCAAAACTTGGGATAAATTTTTATCATAGGTAATCTTCTACTTATTTACATTCTCAACGTAACTTTATCGTAACCCGTCAAACAGTAGAATCTTTTATTGTATCCTTTATTGTTTCTGTACCTCTTAGACATTAATCTCCGAACAACTACTTCAAAAAGCTGTACAGGTCTTGTAGCTTCAATTTACGTATTTCTACGCTGTTTCGAATGATTTTTGCTTTTGGAAGCCTTCAACTCAGAAAAAAATTGTTTTGCAGATAAAAATGATGGAAGACGACATAGTAGCGAAATGGACGGTCCCTTTGCAGGATAAGGTGGGTTGGAGTGTCACTAACTATTTTACAAGGTCCTACATTTCTGTTACTTTACTTATTGCTTTTTACTAATACAATATTTAATGCGAACTATG